CAACCACCAAAACCCCCAGAACAAAACCAAAAATGAACCAAAAAAAAAGGGGTTATTCTTCTGAAACTCCAAGTGGAAAAATCCCCCCCCCAGCCGACCCCTCCCTTGCCCTCACTGAAGTCTTCTCTTTGCACTAAACCACCCCAAAATGGGCTCCTGCTGGCAGCACCGAGGGGGTGAAATTTGGGTCCTTCGGCCTCAAGAGGCTGGAACACGAAGGAGGGGTTGGAAACTCCCAAAAAATGGAGATTTCCTGGAACTGGGGGGAGCTCGTCCCAAGATGCAGATGGGTTCGGACCTCCCAGGACCCCTCCAGCATCCTCAGTTTGCTCCTGGTACCTTCTGGGAAAGCCCCAGCCCCTCTAAGTTGGCATCAGGACCACGGCCCATCGTTGCCCTCCCCTGACTTTAACACCTTTTGAGTGCTTTAGGACAAACTAACCCAAAACCAAATCCAACCATGACCTGCCCAACGCCCTCCTGCCCAGCCACAACCTTCCCCCAGACCCTCCTTCCCCGAGACTCCGGGATCCATAGGGAAAAACAGAAATTAAACCAAAGTTAAACTAAATCCATGAGGTATTTGTGACCTTAACAAACCCAAGGGAAGGCAAAAGCTTGTGCATCCCCACGGCGAGCCAGCCCCTGCTTGTGGGACCACCACGGGTCATCTCTCACCATGGGACATTAATTAAGGACCTCATTGAGCCACAAACACTCATCATCCTCGCCAGGAACCCCTCATTTCATTCCCACCACTGGCTCCAGGTCCAGGATTGGACCTCAAGACGCATTTTAAGCTGCTCTGCTTCCAACCCACAGCCACAGCTCCAACCAGCATGAGGAAGCCCCATGGAGATGCTGCTGGGACCAGGGACACAGGTCATCTCAGCAGCAGGGAAACCACTTGAAAAATCCCTTCTGCTTCTCTTATAAACCAGATTTTCACTTGCTTTTGTTAAGAGCTGAGTGTGGAAACCATCAGCAGAGAGGCGAGGACGTTCCTACAGCCAGGAGCATTGCTGGTGTCCTGGATGCCAGGGGTTTTCATAGCAGCCATGGATCATGGAGGTGTTTGCAAAACAGTCCCCAGAACAATCTCTAGGATTAAAAACCAGCCCCAGATGCTGGGCAGAGGTTTAAGGCCAGAGCCAGGACAGTCGCCAGGTAGAAATCAGGCAAGTGCAGAAGGTCCTTGGGACCTGATGGTGCTTGAAGACGCTGGTGAAGAACGTGTAGAGTTAGCCCTTGAGTTGTGGCACCAAAACGCCATCTCCTCCCTGGCTGAGCCACTGTCCTCTGCCAGTTGCATCTTCTGGGGGGATGCTACAAGGACCTGGGTTTCAGGGAGGAGGAGGAGGAAGGGGCTCAGCCCACCCCAATGGCCAAGCCGAGGGTGAGCGATCGCAGGTACGTGATGGAGCCAGGAATGGGTGCTGCTTCCTGGTGCCCGCCGCAGTTCTGCCCTTGAGCCGTGGCCTCCCTGAGCCCCAGTGGAGATGGTGAAGACAAGATGAAGGGGTAGGGAGAGGGTCTCCCCCCAACCCCTCTCCATCCCTCTTAAGCTCACACAGAGGTCTCTGACTGCAGCCTCATAACGAACTTGTGCGACTTGGGGTCCACAAACTCCTCCGAGAGCTTGAAGAAAGGGATCTTCTTGGTGCTCACCACGAGGCTGAAGTCCTGGCGCTTCAGCACAAAGACCACCCCATCCTTCAGGCCGTTGGTCACTGGCTCCTCGCTGACCAGCGTCCACTGCTTGGCCAACCAGCGGTCCTTGTGGTATTGGATGGTGGGCCCAGCCGTCAGGTACCGCTCAAGGAATGCCTTGGAGGAGGGAAAGGACATGTGAACATCACCTTCCTATTTGGTTTTTGCAGCCTCTAGCTGCTCAGCAGGTCCTGCAGGAAAAACATCCCCGTGTTGCTGGTTCCCATCACTGCACGCTGCTCCCTTGGGATTACACCTGCTTTTCTGGCTCTGTCCTCCAACTCTTTGTCCTCCCAGGGGGATGCTCCTGTAGTGGCGAAGAAAACCCCCACCCAAGTCCTCATGCTCTGGACCAAACCCTTGGGACAACCTGTGGGCCCGTCCCACCTCACCATGCCCCTCCAAACCAATGTTCTAACAGCTGGACTTGATCTTAAAGGTCTTTTCCAACCTAGTTTATGATTCTATGACTCCACACACCTTGGGCGTCATGTCGTGGGTGATGCAGAACTCGAGGTGCTGCAGGATACTCTCCATGGTGTGGTAGGGCTGCTGCTTGGTGGTACGCAGGTACTTCTGCATGGCCCGGGCCATGGAGGCGAAGATGGCCTGAGCTGCCTCCCGTGGGTCCATGATCTCCCGTGGGTTCTTCTGGTCCTCCTCCTGCAGCCGCTTGATGTGGGTGAAGGCTTCTTCCACTGCCACCACCAGCCTGTTGGGAGGAAAGCCATGGACATGGACTGCAGTGGGGCAGAGTTTGGATACAGACGAGACCCCTTGGGTCGGGGAGGGAGCCATGTGCCACCTGCCCACCTATGCACGGCAGGAAGCCAGCTTCCACTCCAAAACTGGTTTGGGGGAGATCTGGCTGTGCCACACAACAGCCGGGCTTGGGATGCCCTTCTCCAAGACCAGGGATGCTTCATCCTGGAGGTGACCCCAGAAGCCCCCCTCCCACCTGCCAGTACAAGCCCGGGTCCTCACAGGGGTCCTGGGATGGGCACCCCACAGGACCCAGAGCCATGGGGCACCCAGCACCGTACCTGGCGCGGCGTTTCCGCACCCTGCGCTCGTGCTCTGCCTCCTCATAGTAATACTCGTTGTGGCTGTTGTCACGTC